TATATATATATATATATATATATATATATATATATATATATATATATATATATATATATATATATATATACTGTTTCCCCGAAAATAAGACAGGGTCTTATTTTCTTTTGACCCACGAAATAGACACTTGGCCTTATTTTTGGGGAGGTCTTATTATTTTTGAGGTGCAGGAGGCGGCAAGCGTGGTCACCTCATGGCTGCTGTTGGGTTGCAATATTTTCGGGGGGAGGGCTTATTTTAGCGCATGCGCTCAAAAGCTCAATTGGGCTTATTATCTGGGAAACAGGGCATATATATATATATGTTTTCAATGGTGGGATAGAAAAATAATTTCATTCATTCAACACACATTAGATCTGGCTAGGTTAGCGTTAGTCGCGTGAAGCATCTAATCCCTTTACCATGAAACTGTAAACTCACAGCTACAATATTCAGCCTTCTTTCAGAAGCTGCGTTTACAGCATCACCGTAAAGATACTTACTGGCTGTGGACTGAGGCTGAATACGAGGTATTCCTCCGTTTGGCACTTGAAAGTTTGAGTCACTTCTACTGTTTTTCACAGACTCAACATGGATGTTAGATGTCCTGGAGAGGTTTGGAAGGCTACGCCTTAGTTTCTCTGTATTAAAGAAAGATAACAACATACCATCTAATGCAGAAGACTGCACTCTTCTACCACCCAGAGCAACCCTGGAGTACAGAGGCCCTGAGGCAGGGGGGAAAAACCAGGCACAAATCTTCAGAGCATATATTTTGGCTGACAAGCAATACATTATCAATTAAAGCATTAAAAATACATATTTTATCTAAAATACTACATCTTAGAAAAGTCTGAGCTCTCAGACGGAGCAAAAATTAATTGATATTCGTTACTTTAGAAAGAAGAGTCTGGTGTATTGATCCATTCTCTCAAAATGTGAATGCATATCCAACAGATGGCAACCTATTTGTCAATTTAAAATTCCAGTGTCTGCATAAAGTCACCGTATTTTTCAGAGTATAAGACGCACTTCAAGATTTTGAAGAGGCAAATTTAAAAAAAAGTTTTTGTACTTTGCAGATCTCCCCAAAATGGCCCATTTTTCACAAAAATGGGCCCATTTTTTGTCAAAAAAATGGCATGCATGGCCTTTAGGAGGCTTATAGAGTGTTCCTGGGGGCTGAAGGGCAAAAACGAGCAAAAACTGGCCCCAGAAGCACTCTGAAAGCCTCCTAAAGGCTATGTACGGCCATTTTTGCAAAGGGGGCAGGGTTTCAAGAGGCCCAAAATGCTGTATTCAGGGTATAAGATGCACCCAAATTTTCACCCTCTTTTTTGAGGGAAAAAGGTATGTCTTATACTCCAAAAAATATGGTATGTAGAACTAGTTCTGAGTCAGAATTGTGCTACCAAAATAAATAAGAAACAAGCCAGCAATATTCAACTGGATAAAAAGAAAGATTTAGTGAGTTTTGGGGGCTTCACAATAATTTCCTCACGCTCCCATAATTGCCTCAAATCTGTTGTGGATGATCAGACTTGATTTTATTTAATACTGTATTTACAGAATACAGAGGAGGATTCAGAAATTCACAATGTGTTTTCTGATGGAACAGCTTTTACTAGGTGACACCATTGTACCATCCCAATTTATTTTGAAAACCAATGCTATAATTTTAAGAAGAAAGAATGGGAAATAATTTAGACTAGCTTTTTTTTCAGAAATCCTACAGTGATGGAGATTAATAGAGCTTTAAAACAAATATGGGCCTGTAGTCAAAATTTCTTCTCCATCATCCTAGCAGTAATTGTTTACATATAGAATGATCATCCCTACAGATTTGGGGGAAAATCAGCTTTATTAACTAAAAGTTATGCTTGCTCGGCAATATTGAGCCTTAATAGGAAAAGAAAATTAACAGAGATATCCATTGTAACTATATAATAGTCCAATAGATTAAATATAATTTTAAAATTTAAAAAAATATATGAAATGCATTGTGTTGTGGACTTGGTTTATTCTGCTATGATGTAATACAGGGGAATCCCCAACTTTGGCTCACTATTGGGCCGTAGCCAACTTGCAACTTGGTCACACAAGCGGTGGGCCAGTGCACATACAGTTTAACTTGTGTGAGTGGCAGGCCAGTGTGTACACAGCTCAATTTGTGCAAGTCGAGTTCTGTGCGCAGGGCTGTGTGTGCCGGCCCACTACTCGCATGGCTGCCACTACCCCCCTGCCAGGCTTCCAAGCCGCAAAGATTGGGGACGGCTGATGTAATATATAACCAACAAATCTGCATCATCTTAATTTTTCATTCTTTAGTGATAAAAATCAAATGGTGTTCTCTGTTATATTATTTTCGCCTGTTATTTCTTTGAAAAGGAAACACTCTCAAGTGTAATGATTGCAAAGACATTGTGATTTAAAGCAGATTTGGGAATTTCTAAAAAGATTTATGAGCCAGCTGCCTGCATGAAATGACAATTGGCATTTTGTCTGAAAAACTGTTGGAAACCAGATTGAACTGTAAACGGAGATATATAACAATTTGGATATGCATTAGAAGTAGTGCTCAACTAGAAGTAATAGGCCAATGCAATCCTAAATTTATTTGTAGAATATAGAAACCTGAGCTCTTCGGCTGAGTAATACTATAAATCATGTGAACTTAACTTTCTCAGCTGTCACCAAATCAGCATCCAGACTAGGAAACAACGCAAATAATTTCTTAAATGAAATTAACTATGCTGAGTTTCCTTGACCCACAGAATGCATGGTTTTAAGTAAAAATAGATTTAAAATATATTTCACTGATCACAACATATAATCTACTTTATTATTGTTATTTTGGGTTAGAGAGTATTTCTTGTTGTTTGTTGGTGTATCCCATTTTAAGATCAATGCAAGAGAAGCAAAAGCAAAAGATCAAAGGATGAAAAATAATGCAAATAGGGGATAAAGATGAACAGAGCTATTCAAATAAAATTTAGCGCCGCCTGCTCATGAACTATGCCAAGAATCATTATTTTAGTCTGATATACAAATACTGTACATACTTTCATACTGCTGTGTATCTATCCCTCAATCCCATCCAGTAGTAATTACTATAGGGAATAATCGGATTACTCCCCCCACAATTACGGCTTGTCTGTGATTAGCAGTCTAAGATAATAAAGAGACTGGAACTTAATTACAGAAATATAGAGTCACTACGAGCAGCTATAATTTATTGCCATTTTGACTTTATCTATTGTGCAAATCAATCTTATAGTAGCTACCAGCTCCCTAATCGGTACAGAGGAAAATAGATGGCTTATGAGATAATTCCTCAATCTAGCTAAGAGATGCAGTAACAATTATATTTTTAATTTGTTAATAGGCAAGTTACTCAGGCTAATTTTCCTGATCCCTTTAGGAATTTTTCCACCTACTTCTAATAAGAAGTCTCCTTTCCTTTCAACCAACTGCTCGCTCATGGCGCAAGGGTGTGCATGCATGCAGGGAAACATGAGGTGTGCCAACGTAATTTAAAAGGAAGGACAGTTTAGGTTTTCAGCCACAGCGTTACTTTTGCTACAGCGAGATTATCAAGAACCAATCAAATACTGTATACAAAAGTGGTCCTGGTCACATGCTTTGCGGAACAGGTGTGCTGCCACTTGCCATTCCAGCCGAGCGCCATCATTGCTGTTACTCACCTTTCCAAGTGCCTATCTAGCTTATGGCTCCCGTTTCCACCCACCCGTATAGTTTTTCCATTGAGATTAAATCCTAATTAAGAGTTAGTGGCACACAGCCACAGGTGAGGAGAACAGCAGAGTTCAGCACCAGGGGGATGAACAAGCATCAACATTTCCCAGTCTGGCATTTTCCACTTGTAGGCATGTGAAAAGGGGAGGTGCAAGTTACCAAAGAGTAAATTGGCAAGATGTCACTCTCAATATTTCAGACAAACAGGCATATCCACCTCCTCTGGGAACTATAAATTATTTTCTGTTGGACTTTAGAAGAAATTTTCACTACTTTTTTATTTTGAAATTGTCCCATTTAAGGTACAAGCCATGCATTGTTTCACTTGATTTATATTTATTGCCTATTCAAACATTTGAAACACTAAGATCTGCTTAGAAAAATATATGCTCCAGACGTTCTGTATTGCTATTTTTGATCAGTCTTCTGTTAATTGAGGTAACAGGAATTATAGTGCTAGAACAGGGGTAGGCAACTTTAAACACTCAAAGAGCCATTTGAACCGGTTTCCCACAGAAAAGAGAACACTGGGAGCCACAAAGGTCCTAACTGGAAGCCCCCGTTCAATTCTGGAACTGACCAAAGTCCGGTTCCCCCACCATAGAGTCTCCTCCTAGCGTGGCATCCTTTTTCCTCTACCTGTCCTAACTGAAATTGTGGAGCCGACCAGAAAACCCATCTCTTGCCACAGAGTCTCCTCCTGGTGTGCCGTGCTCCCCCCCACCAAACCAGAAGTTCCTCTCAAAATTTTGCTGGCGACCGGTGATAGGGAGCCGCAGCAGAGGGATGAAAGAGCCACATGCGGCTCCAGAGCCGCAGGTTGCTGACCCCTGTGCTAGAATAACTGTGTTCAAATTGCTTATAGAGCTTGAGATTCATAATCTCCAAGACAAAAAAAATACATTTTCAAAATGCCAATATCTTTTGGTTGATAAGGATGATAGAATTCTTTCATTCAACTTTCTCAGGTCTTAAGTCTACCTGGTAACTAACAGTCAACTTGCCAACAAAACAGTTAGCTGGAATTTCATTTTCTGCAGAGGATATACAGAACGAAAGAAAGCTTTAAAGCAAGCGATGAAAGGCAGCAAACAGGAAGATGAAATGCAATCGTTTTTAAACAGTGCTATACGATGTGCAGTCTGGATAGGTTCTCTTTCACAAAGCAGGATTAGCAATGCAACATGCCTTAAGAGATTTAAGAGGAACTGGGAAGCGGCAGGAACATCCAACAACAACAGAAAAATAACCCTGTTGAGTCCGCTTGTGGTCTCTTAGCAACAGTTTAGTTTACACATCACATTGAATTCCATAGAAAAAAAGAGGCTAACTTTTAAAGGAAAATGTTAATAGAAAAACCATCCTAATTATTTTTCTTCTTGTGCTGTAATGAGATTATTAGGCAATATATATAGCTCGCCCTCTAACAGTATCTTTCTACTTTGAAAAAAACAACTATTTAGTTTCTGGATACAGTATTTTTCCTTCAGGTATAACACATATACGACTAGATCTTAGAAACAGATACAAGAAGAAAATGAATTAAATCCCAGTATATCAAAATCTCAGTTGTTCTTTTAAAATGTGTATTTTCTTCCCCCTTCCATATATTCTCATGAGTCCAGTGACTTTGTTCCCTTTATTTCAAACTAATGGTGACTGATGCGATTCAAAGGGCAACAAACCATTTTACTTTGTGGCATGTAGTATTTAGATTTTTTTTCTCAAGTAAACAGTTCTGGCTTCATCCATCAAGGAAGTCAAGTTTGAAGCTGAGAATGAGCACTTTATTTTTTAAAAAATAATGGCAGATAACCTACCATGCAAGGAATAATTGAAAACTGAAAATTGAATACATGCATACTTACAGAAAAGGAAACTTACTTTTCCTTTCTCATATATATTTGCTAAGAATAATTAATCCTATTTGCGATAGCTCAGCATCTCAAAGAGTTTTTTTTAATATGACATATCTTTAAAGCTATTACATCTTTGAAGCAACTATTTTCATTTTACTATTAATTCTATGGCCTTTAGGGGAAAACATTACAATAATCGTTTGTCACTATTTTGACCTGGTTAACCTTATTTTTCCCCTAATGGACATTCTTGATGGAATTCTCAATATGAGAATTTGAAAAATTACATGGCCACAAAACAAAATTATTATCAGAGCTTATGGATTTTGAATCATCCTAATGAAAAAAAAAAACCTATCACAAAACTTATTTTATCTTTCCTTGTCTCTTCGGCTGGCACCTTTTTAATTTTATGATATTTGAACAATTTACAGGGCTGCTGATTTCACAACCTGAGTTTTAAATGCTCCCAAACAACTGGGGGTACACCCACGTTCCGTACGTACAACTGAAAACAAAGTCTCTTACCTTCATTTTTGACAGTGGTGGTTTGCAAATCAGGCGGATGTCCTTGAAGTGAAAGGCGGGGTTGCTGCAGGCGGCTAAGCATGGGCTGAGGTGACACTCTGCTGTACTCTATTCCTCGAGCAGGGGATCGAGACCTGGGAGAATTCCTCGGGGACTGTTTTGGTGAAGGTCGGGGTGAATTGCGGGGTGATGGAGAGAACCTATTCATAGCTGGGTGCACTGCATGGTGGCAGCCATCTTCTTCGTCTTCTAAGCTCTGGGCATCAAGTTCCTGGTCGCTAAACGTTCCACGCCGCATAGAACTACATGAAGAACCAGAGCTACGCCGAGAAGTAGTTGCTGCATATTCTTGCCGAAGACCTAAGGAGAAGAAAGAATATTGCCTAAAGTACAATCCCCTTTTTGATTATTACAGACAAGGAACATGTCACAAATCAACAATTCCCATGCTGATGTTTGACCCTGCTACACAATTCAACAGGGGCTGTTTTCACGGCAGAAATGTCACTGAATGTATCTCAACTTTTCCAGTAATGGCGGTACATGTCATTGCTGAAGGCGTTGAAGAATCTGGTAAGGAAATATGTCTGAAGCACAGGTGTCAAATTCGATCACATCACGTGATGTATCGCTCCGTTTTTTTGGCTTTGTGGAGCCAGGGTGGGCGTGGCCTGTACGTGATGCATCTGGCCCGCAGGCTGCCAGTTTGACACCCTTGGTCTGAAGCAATGGCCCAATGGAGCATGGGATATCTACAATTAACCAAAGTTAAGTTACGCCCCAGGTATCCTAGATCTAGACCTTAGCATCCAGGATTCAGACAAGATTTGGAAGCAAATGATAAGCATGGACTAGCAATGTGGATTTGACATCACTTCCAAATTTATCATTTTAATCAATAATATGTTTTTTCTTGTCAATATTTAACCACACTTTATTAGGCCAGCTCTTCATAAACTCAGAAATCAAATGTTTCACAGCTTCCACAGCAGCAGATGGAAAGACAAAGCTAGGCATTATTCACATCTTAATGACACGCCAGGCCAAATGGCTACAATATGCCTTCACGTTATCCAGCCAGAAAACAACACACGTTTGATTGTTATGCCCACATCTCAAACCAGAATCTGTTGGCAGTATTAACTGCATGCTACTATATACTGAAAGATTAATTCTGTAGAGAAATTGTATTACAGGACCGCTGAGCTAAACAGGAATGTAATAAATAGACACAAACAAAAGCTGGAGAATATCTACTGGCAAAAATGTAAATAGAAGAGAATAGAATTCTTTATTGGCCAAGTGGGATCGGACACGCAAGGGATTTGTCCCTGTTGCATACACTCACAGTGTACATATAAACAGCAAGTAATAGGTCATAAGTCATAATTAGAATCATTAATCATAAGTTACAAACAACCACTGATAAATCATAAGAAACCAATAGAAGATAGTAGGAAAGGTGAGAATGAGACAGTACCGAGTATTCAGCAGAGTTGTGGCACAGGGGAAAAACTATCTTTATGTCTACCCTGTTTCCCTGAAAATAAGACCTTCCCGGATAATAAGCCCAATCGGGCTTTTGAGCGCATGCGTTAAAATATGCCCTCCATCCCCAAAATATTGTAACACAGTAGCAGCCATGAGGTGCCCACGCTCGCTGCCTCCTGCACCTCGAAAATAATAAGACCTCCCCAAAAATAAGACCAAGCGCTTATTTCAGGGGTCAAAAGAAAATAAGACCCTGTCTTGTTTTCGGGGAATCATGGTACTGAAGTTACAGTAAATCAGAGGGGATATTGGGGATGAATCATTAAGGCTTATAACCACAAGAGTTCTGCATGCAGAGAAGTAGTTATTTTGGCATACAATGCCCTATAGTGGCGTCCTGAGGGGAGACGTTGAAATAGATTATCTCAGGATGTGAGGGGTCTGTAGATATTTTCTCAGCCCTCTTTTTGACTCGTGCAATATAAAGATCCTAACTTTAACATGTTATAATGTACTTTCTTCTATGGGGGGTGGGGGAGAGGGGACATTTTGCAGGAATTGTCCAATTCCTGTCCCTCTTCCTTTTGGCTTTAGATTAGGTTGGACCACACTATAATTACAATGCCAAAGTAATTAATATTATAATTGATGCATTTTTCTCCAATAAATATGCGGCTTTACATTTTATCTAGCAGACATAATGAAGACAGGTTTACAGTGAAGTTTGCATTAAGAAACAAAATTTTAGTTGAAATATTCCCCCAAGTCCCTTGTTTTATTCTGGGTAACTTACTAAAGGCACCAAACACAAAGTCACAACCTTTTATAAAACTAGTTTCAGTTATGTGGCCTTGATGGCAATCACTGATGGAAAATTGTTCTGTAAATCCAAATTGAACTCGTGCCTGGTAATGCTGTCCCCAATGCAACTCTCTAAGAGGACTGTAACCAAGAAACATAAAGATTATAATATTAACTCTGATTTAATTCCCAGTCTGTCACAGAAAGGTAACAACGTAATGGTAGCTTATATATAGAGTTTTCCATCCTTCTTGGTAAATGTACTGGGAGATGGAGGTGGCGCTTTCCCACTTCACTACCGGTTTATAACCGCAGCACTATAGCTATTATTTAAAATTGCATCTAGAAAGAGTTGCTATGCGGAAACAAAAATGGTCACATTTTAGTGTTGAATATTTCCCTATTTTTATGTTCACCTCTTAGTCTTTCCTATTATTTTCCAATTCTTTTCGCTAATATATTTCTCAAACCTTTTTGTTTCTTAACATGTGGCTTTCATGTGGAATCCCTGAAGTTTACCAACAAAAGCAAACATGTTAAAAATAACAGTAAAAAAACCTCCGATTTTTATTTGTATTGATGTGAAAACTACTTACTCTCTTCTTGCATTCGGGCTAAAATCTGCACATCAGTTAAGTCATTTAGTTTGTAATTAGATCCTATTGAGTCTTCGTCCATTTCTGAAGCACTTAATTCACTGTCTATTGAGGATTGTGGACTGAGTGGAGGATTTCGATCAGAAGTTTTGAAATGACCTATAAGAAAAGAAAAACAAATTAATACATAAAGACATCCCTATCATCCCTAACACTGAAGGCAGAAAGAAAATTTTTCCAAGAATTCAAATACGTTGAGAAATAAAACTCGTTTTTCTTCGAGTTAGGTACCGATCCATCTACAAGGTGCTGGATTTAAGTGAACTTCTAAATATTGAAACTCTTAAAGTGCTTTAAAGGAAAGCTGAAACAACTCTTTATTGTTTAGACTTCTGCAACTCTCCATTCACCACTTTCATAATAATTGTATCTTAATTTCAATTTTTTGCTATTAAGGAAAAATAATTCTGGCACTCAAAATTGTACCTCCACTGCAAAAGATGAATTTATAAATGCCAAACAGAATAAATGTAAAAATAATTTTAATGCGTTTTAGCATACCTTGACCAGGATTTGGGCATACTCTGGTCAGTAGGAAGTTGACTAGATGAAGGAAGGAAGGAAGGAAGGAAGGAAGGAAGGAAGGAAGGAAGGAAGGAAGGAAGGAAGGAAGGAAGGAAGGAAGGAAGGAAGGAAGGAAATGTACAAAGCAATATAAGGATTACAACTCATAATTATTCAGACATCATGTCTATCATGTGCCTCTTAGATCTGAGGCTCTTACCTGAGTTGTTAGGATAGATGAGCTGTTTTACTAAAGGACCTTTCGATGGTGTAGGGGAAGGAGAATTGAAGTTAGTGCTGTAGGGACTGCCAGCACTGTGGCTGTAGGAGTTTGTGTAATTGACAGTGTTGAATGGATTATTGTACAGGCTGTGTCTCTTGAGAGCTGTGTGAAAAAACAGAAAAGAAAATTCATATACTGTTTCACAACACTTAAAATTGCATTTCTGATTTTAATACCATATGAGGTACAGAATGTGGGTACAAAGTAGAATAAGTTTTTTTTTAAAAAAAACATATCTCTTCACCTTGTTAATAACATAAGCTCTATACAGTACAATCCCATTAATTTTTTTTTATTTTTAAATTAAATTTGGCAAACACTAATATTAAATTTTGATAATATAACAATCCAGAAAATGATAATCTCATCACTTATTTCAGTTATTTAATATTTCTGAAACATTTTTTTTTGCAAAAAATAATCGCAGATTATTATTTTACATGCCATTTCTCAGATACCAATTCATATAAAATAAAATGATACTGTGCAAAACAGCTTGCCATGCTGGTGTACTTATTAGACAATAACTATGACATAGCTGGACGCTTGTCTCCCCTGAATTTTTTTAATAGAAGAAAGCATATAATAATTTTCCTATTAATGTAAATTGGATTTGAACCAGGCTAACTTTCACTGGAACATAACTATTTTTTAAAAAAATAGTCTATTAAAATACTACCTGTTTAAAGCAAGTTAACTTAAAAAAAATTCAGAAGCTCACCTGACATGGTTTGTTCAAGCCTATGGATCAGTGACTTTTTAGCACATTCAATGTCTGGAGTTGGATAATCCAGTATTTGCCTGCACCAAACGAGCGGACTCATTGATTTTTGCACTGGAGTCACTTTCTTCTTTGGTGACATATACAACCTGGTGGAAATTAAAACACATGAACATTACATAGGGATATGCAGTCGAATTAGAACTTCAGTATATTGCTCTTTTTAACCAAAAAGCACAGGACAACACAGTTTTCTATTAAGTGCATTTTTTTCTCAGCATGCTGGAAATTGAGAAACTGCCTTTCCCTGATTGAAGTTGCCCACCTAACCCAGATAATGCCTTCATGGGATCTTCAGATACCAAGGGAAGGGAACCTGAAGGCAGGTGCTCTTCGTAGGGCTCCCCTCTGGGGCACATGATTTTCGGATGCAATCAGAGTCCCACTACTTATACTCCAGTCTTCTAGAGAGCTGTAAAGATCCAGCTCTTGGGGAATTGATTCCGGAACCATCACATAGCTTTTAGCTTCATTAACGTACTACAAAGTTTTTATTTTATTTTATATTGCTTAGCTGGAACTTAGTTGGAACTGTCAAAAGAGTTCATACAACGAAACGGCCTCTTAAATACCCACCAGCCTTTTCTGCGCGTAAGTAAACACTCAGAAATGATATGGTTTAGGAAACTGAGGTGGGATGGGTAGGAAACTTTACTAAGAAGGAGCTCTTGTCCATTTTTCCGTGTGGGTGTCTGTGTGTGTCTGTATGTGTGTCTGTGTGTGTGTGTGTGTGTGTGTGTGTGTGTGTGTGTGTGAGAGAGAGAGAGAGAGAGAGAGAGAGAGAGAGAGAGAGAGAGAG